CTGGGCCTCTGTCCTCAGCACTGCCACCACTCCGGCCTCTGTTCTGCTCTCCTGCAGCCTTGCAGCTCTGCCACCGTGTCGTGCCCAGAGCACTGGGCGGAGCTCTTTATATAGAGTCAACAGCCGTGTATTGCCCACAGGTGTGCAGTGAGCTAGTCAGCCACAGCCAGGTGAGAATCCTGGCCACAGGAACCCTCATTTTATCCACACAGAGGGAGACTGGGGAGGGGGCTGGATGTTAGCACACCAAGGCCTGGGGGGACAGGACACTGTTTCATGCAGGATACCTCCTCACTCCCTATTCCAGCTACAGACTAGACAGATGGTGTGGAAGGCTGAATAATGTCCTCCCAGAGGTGTGCATGTGCTAATCTCTCAAAGCTGTGAATATGTTCTCCTGCATGGTAAAGGGGCTTTGCAAACATGATTAAATTAAAGACATTGGGATGGGGGGGATATCTGGAATTTCCAGGTGAGCCCAATATATCACAAGGATTCTTAAAAGGAGGAACACTGGGAGCCTGTCTTGCCAATGGGTTTCAGCCCCCAGCAAGTTCACTGTGTGTGACCAAAGGAATGACAGTGGAACGTTCTTGGGGTAAAAGGGTTATACCCAACTTTATTCCCACAGTGGCAGGTCAGTCACTAAAATCCCGTTCACTCAGAGTGACTCTGCATGCAGCCAGCCGGTCTCTGCCTCTGGGCCTCTCTGCCCTCACAGCTGTCCTGCACAGCTGTCCCACACAGCCGTCCACCGGGCCTCTGTCCTCGGCGCTGCCACCACTCCAGCCTCTGCTATGCTCTCCTGCAGTCTTGCAGCCGTGCCACTGTGTCACCCAGAGCACTAGAAAGAGCACCTCATATGGAGTCAATAGCAACATATTGCCCACACATGTACAGTGAGCTAGCCAACCAGGGCCAGGTGAGAATCCTGGCCACAGGAACTCTCATTTTATCCACAGACAAATCTCCACATGTCCACCCCTGGGGCCTCCTCATCTTCTGACTACCCCTTCCCAACATCTGTCCCTCCTCTCCCTCCCTTTCCTCATTTACTCACCATCTCCCCACCTCCATGGGCCCAGACAAGGCTCCTGCCATCCAGAGTTGCCTCCTCTGGGGGCACTGCAAATAAGCTTGGCCAGGGTCTGGGTCTTGGGCACTGGACCCCACAGGCTCACCCAGCTTTGCAGCCCTGAATCCAGAGCCAGGCCCCTCCCCTTGGGCCTGACAGAATCTGCATGCCTGCAGCCCTGCCCTGGGCCAAAACCAAAGGTCTGTGAGGAGCCCAGCCAAGAGTGAGGCTGGCGAGAGGCGCCTAGGTTCAGACCTCTACTGCCCCTTCTACCCAGAACAACCTCCACCTGGCAATGCTCTGGGCTCTGGCTTCACCCGGACAGATTGGCCCTGTGCCAGCTCTCCCCTTAGGGCTTAGCCAGATGCTAACACAGGCCAATCTCTTCTTCACAGCTGGAGAGTGACTTCCTAGGACAGGGACCCTGTCTTCTCAAACCTTGAGGGCTGAAAGAACCACCTGTGCCCCCAGCCAGAGGTACTGGTGATTGGTGCCTTCTCAGCAGAGAGGCTCAACCTTGGCCACACACTGGAATCACCTGGGAGTGGAAGGGATGATTTAAAAAAATACTGGGCCTGAGTCCCCCCCACCCAGAGCATTGAATGTGACCCACCGAGGAGCTGCTAGGCACTGAGATTTTTAAAGGCTCCCCAGAGGATTCTAAAATTCAGCTTAGAACGACTAATTCTGAATTTACAGATTTTGAACTGTGTTTTCAAGACTACAGGGCTTTTAAAGTAATGCTCGGTGCAGGGATCTGCATCTAGGCAGCTCTGGGCTGCCCTGAGGTAAGTGGTCCTGCCTCAGGTGAGAGATGCTGCAGGCAGGGCCAGCCGCCTAAGCAACCTGTGGCCCTTGGCCTCTGAGTCTGGAGGGTCCCAAAAGCAGTGAGATGGGCGCTGGAGGGAGTGAGGGAGGAGGGAGAGCGGGAAGACAGGGAGGTAAGCCAAGCAGTCCCCATCAGCACTGTGACTTTTGACATGCTCTGAGTTAATTGAAAGGGAATTTCACATGGCAACAGCAGAAGATATTTGCATCCAAGAAGAGCCATTCCCTTTGTTTGAAGCCAAAGAGGGCAGCTGGGGTGTGTGTGTGAGAGGGGACAGGAGCAGAGGGATGCGCAGGGCAGCCAGGGTAGGGGCCTTGAGAAACCAGCCGTGCAGCAGTCACTGGGGGAGCAAGGAGGGACCCTGCAGAAGACCCCTTGGGAACTTCGGACAAATGCCACAGTCTCTCCCCTCTCTGAGGATTTTCTAAGCCCTTTTGGATACGTCCTTAGATACACACAAAAGCCCTGGCTGCGAGGTGTTCATATCCCAACCTCAGAGCTCAAACTCACAGTCCAACCACATGTGTTTAGTCTGTCCACCTTGGAAAGGATAGAAGGAGGCCCTGCTCTTCAAATAGTGTCTCAGTTTAAGGCTCACAGCAAGAAAAAGTCACCCAGAACCTGCTGGTCTCTTTGGGACAGCCTTTCCCTGCTTGCATGAAATACTATACAAAACATTGGAATCTGCCAACGAGGACAAGTAAAACATTGCTCTTCTCACCTCCTAGTTCCCACCAGCCCCCTGCTAATGCCCAGGGCAGAGTCTCTTTCACACCATCCAAATCACAAAGGACAGTAAGGGCCCCGTTATGGGCAGGGGCAAGACTGGTAAGGCAGACATGGCTGAAGGACCCCCAACTCCAGAAAGCAGACAAAGTCACAGGGGCCAAAGGCAAAGCCTAGCAAGTGGACAAGACCCAAGGGTGCCCAGACGGCCCCGCATAATGCTCCTCGGAGGCTCCACCTCCAGGGGCAGCCTCTGCAGGCCTCCCAACCCCCTTCCTGCAGGCCAGTCAAGACAACTGCCCCTTCTTCTTCAGAAAGGATCTACATTCTCCACTAGATCATCAGGGAGCTGCCCTCCACCCCAGTCACACACACCCCACAGCTGGGCCCCTGCAGCTGTGTCTGCGCCAAGGGGCTAGGCCCTCCGGACCACAGCTGGAAGGTGGACCCCCCAAGCTGGCCTCCTGGATTCTCTCTCCCGGGAATATGATTCTGGAAATAAGAGAGGCTGCTTACATTCATTTAGGGTGTTGAATCAGGAAATGATGTAAGGAGAAGCTGAGGGAGCTACATCAGATGCTCTACATGTAAAGAAGCTATGGAAGCCGGCCTGAGCGAGAAGCAGCCGGAGACAGAAAGAGAGGTGGTTGCTGCCAGCCCAGTTCACACTCTCGATGGGGACATGCCCCTACACACTTACAGCACCATCTCCCTCTTCCCCTTGCTAGTGTGAGGGGTTCCTCTCGCTTTCTACCCACAACGCTTACTAAGACAAAATGATCACCTCAAGCTTCTCTCCTTCCCAAGCAGTGTCCCTGAGCACCAGGTGTGACCCGAGGCACTGCTTCCTGGAGAAAACACCCCCCTCAGCGCTGCCAGCTGCTCTTTTCTGATCCTGCAGGGGACTCTGGCCCACAGGGGGAATAAAATTTGGAACTGTCTTCCCTGCAGCCATCTTCTGATCAAAATAGGACAATAGCCACCGACCCTGAGATGTATGTCTGATCCTCCAAGAGGCCGTTTTCTGCTCTGAAGGAATGCAGTGCCCTGTGTTCCTTCCACAGAGGTGAGACTGGGAATTCTGTGAGGGGATCACCTTCCCTTTCTTGCCCCATCACCCATTTTATAAGACTAGAGAACAGAGATAGGGGGGAGTCTCCTTTTAAAATATAACAACAAAATGTAAGCATTTGTGTTATTTTCTTACAGCTAGTTTTTGCTTAGTTTTTTAGTTAAAAAGATTCCTTCCAATTTTTACTAATGACTCTGGAGCCTCCCCAACCTTTTGAGCCCCCCGCTGTCATGCACAGGGCCTGTCTAGCTTGAGTGCCTTGAACAGGAGTTCCTGGCCTGCATGCTGCATGTGGTCCCGGCCTCTGAACCGGCCTCACGTGCAGCCCTTCCGCCTCACTAGCCACCTCCACCCTAGTTGTGCCAGGCTCCCTCCCTCCATAAGCATTTCTGCCTGCCTTTACCAAAGCAGTTCCTTGCCCCTCCCCTTCTTTCCTAGCCCCTCTATCTCCCGCACCACTCGGGCCATGCTGCCTCATCCCTGCTCTGGCCACCCAGGGCCTTCATTACCAGTGTTGCTCCTCTGTGCACTGGGCACGGTGATTTCACTCTTCCTGAGACTGGGGCCTGTCTCCACAGGGGAACTGCCATCCACATAAGGGCAGTCCCTGGAGCTTTAAACGCAAGGCGGCCAGAAGGAGATGACTGGCACAGCTTTCAAAGCCTTCCCTGAGCCAGGACAATCCCGGACGACTCTTCTGGCATTGTCTCCCCTATCATCCTGCCCCCTACCTGGTCACATGCCTGCTCAGCTTTCTTTTTAACCCCCACTCCCAATCCCAGCACAGCACCTGGCACAGAGCAGATACTCAAAATATTTTTGTTTGTCTTGAAACCATAAATGTTCATTGGGTTGAATCAATATTGTTCTTTTCAGGGAATTGAGAGAGAGAAAGAGCCGCCTGTTGGATCCAGTCATGTTCAGTTTGGTCTTGGTTGAACACCGACCCCCAAAGGAGGGCTCCTTGAAGCCGTGACATATGACAAACCTAATGCCGTTGAGCAGCAGCTGGAAAGCCTGAGGCCGTGCAGGACACAGCCTGGACATATCGGGGCCCATCTGAGCCGCTGCAAGAGCAGCCCAGGGGCACAGGCCCTTGGAAGACACCCTTTGACAATAAGCAGAGTGAACATATATTTTATTGTATAACCAGGACACTTTTGAGAATGAACTAGAAATTATGCTGGGATTACTCCAGCTAAGCAGGCTGGATAGCCACCATGGGGAATTATGTTCTGTGGTCAGGCCCTCCTAAAGAATAGACAAAATCATTTTCTAAACATAAGAACTTGCTAAAACTCAAAGTAGCTTGAGGCCAACGTGGCTTTATTTTAAAAGCCAATTGTGTTGTTGAAGAAAAGGCTATGCTCTCGGCCCATTTTGGCTATGGTCCGGGACGGCTTGGGGAATTGTGCTGAAGACGTGTACGCTCCTGGGCCAGGGGTTTTCTGGAAACAGAACAGAAAACAGGGACTGATGAGATATTGACCCCCAAACCCTGGAGCCTCCTAAACCTGGTTATTGGCTCAGCCATGCCAGGCGAATCCCTGCAGAGGGGGACAAGGCCCCCAGGGCCTGCACTTAGCCTGCTGCACCCTTGCATGGGAGTGTCCCTAGAGCTGAGGTCTGCTCCTGCCAGCAGCTCTCCCCAAGGCTGCAGAGGGCCTGGGAGGAGGGAGGACAAGCAAGTGCCAGCCTCGATCTGCAGAAAGGTGGGCTCACACTCCCCCTGCGCCTCACAGCACAACTTACCATAGGGCACGGCACCAGGCAGTCCCTGTCCCTGGGAATGCCACCATCCTTCCCTCTAATGACTTCAGTCTAGTGGTAAGCGGTTGGAAAGAATGAATTCCTGGTGGTTGATCTCAAAAGACCAAACTTGAGTGCTGCTATCGTTGACTCAGTATGATAGAGTAAGGTGTTTCTCTACCAGGATCTGTGGACCCCAACATAAGAAGTATTCTCAAGGGAGCTATAAGTTCTAATTTTAAAAGCCATGTTTTCATTTAGGTGAAATTCTTGAAAAATTTATTTCACCAGTTATTTAAAGTTTTTCTTCTGTAGTGATAAAATACAAATGAATGTCATTTTCATAGACTAAGACAAAGACTTCAATTTCTTAGGTCAGTGTTTCCCATGGGGGGCAGGCACTTATTCTTGAAACCAAAGGGATTTTATCTTGAGTGTGTGGGAGAGACTCCAGTGTATGTGTGTGCAGTCAAACGAGGGTTTGAATATCAGACAGGCTTAGCTTAGCATCTTAGTCCCACCATCAGTGACTTGGTGTGACCCTAGACCTATGCTTCCTGTGCCTTCCTGGGGTTATAAGGCTCACTGAGCCCTCCAGCATGAACAGCACTGGGCCATGCCAGCATCACGCACTCCACATGTTAGCTACCACCACTATTATTATTTTATTTTTACTATTTTTTATTAAGGTATTATTGATATACACTCTTATAAAGGTTTCACATGAAAAGCAATGTGGCTACTACATTCACCCATATTATCAAGTCCCCCCACACATCCCATTGCAGTCTCTGTCCATCAGTGTAGTAAGATGCCACAGAGTCACTACTTGTCTTCTCTGTACCACCACTACTATTATTCCCTATTATCATCTCCTTGTCATTTCTATCCTTCCTTGCAGTGCGTAATCTGTTCAGGAGATAGTGAGAGTAGAAACAGGATTACCTCGAGAGTGGGCCAGAGCAGTCGGCCCGGAGTGGTTGAGATCAGCTGCCTGCAGAAGCTGCTATAAATGACAGGATGTTTCCCTTGCCAAAAGCCCAGGAGCAGCCTGGAAATCTAATCAAGTCCTGGCCAGACGTCAAAGAAAGCCTCTATTAGTGCTATTAATGAGGAAGCGGCATGAGTGTGGAGTCCTGGAAGGCCAGCCCACAGGCCAGGAGGTTTGAGGGCCTGGGCCGCACAAGGCCACCCCTCAGGAGGCTGCCAGTGTGGTTCTCAGACCTTGAGAACATCCGGCTCTGTCTCCCAGCCCTGATTTCACTGTCACTAAGCAAACTGGCCTTGGCTTCCTTGAAGAGTCCCCTACAAGAGGAGACACTTCACAGAGCAGAGGCCCCAGACACCAGTCCTCTTAGCGGACACTTGTAAAATTAATACTACACCTTCAGGCTTCTCTATCAGTTTCCTAGGAGTTTGGTTAGCATGCCTCAACTTCCTGAGGATGCTCTGTCCTCTGAGCTCTGACAAAAATCTGTTTCTGGATCGTGGTGATTCCACTGAGGGGTGAGGATCTGCTGAAAGGACCCACAGCCCCCTGTTGCTGGTCTATTTTTAATTTTACTGGCAGCCCCTTCCCCCACCTACCCCTGCCTCCCCCAGTATTCCTCCAGGTACAGACCACACTGCAGTTGGCAGCTCTGGAGCCAGAACCTGGAAGGCAGTGGCCTGGGACACACAGGTGGGGCTATCCAAGGCCACCTGCAGGTCCAGACAGTGACAGAACTGGCTCTCTCCTCCCAAAGTCCCCAGCTGCTCCCACCTCCTTTGATCCCCCTCAGTGGGCCTGTTTTCTTGCAGGCAGAATTTGCACTTCTTTCTCCCCAACCATCTCAAATAAGGCTACATACTGGTGAGTTTGGGGGACTTTAAGACTGCAGTGCACGCTGGGAACAAGATCATGGGAATTAAAACTGTCTTTTAACATTAAAAACAAAACCAACAACAAAAAACAGTCGCTGTTCATAAGCTTCAGGTTGTGATTCTGTGATCTTTCTTGGCCTTCTCTAGGCTTTGAGAGTCTCACCCACTCCCTGCATCCACCTTCCTTGGGTCCTCTGTGTTTGGGAGCCTCTTCCCTGTCCATCCTCGGTCCCTGGGCCCAGGAGGATTGCTCCTGCTTTAATGGTCCCCTTTGGTTCAGTAATAATATTTCTGCTCTGATTTTTTGCTCCAGGAGCCACATACAAAAAGAATGGCAGTTCTGGGTGGGTGGGGGCAGCCACGGGTCATTGCTTGCCTCAGCTCATTAAATATGTTCCCTCAGGTCATAACACAGCTAATTACTGTGCTGGCTGTTCTCAACTGGACCCATAATTCAGCTCCCAGCTCCAGGCCTGGAGTCACACTGAGCCGGAAGCTGGCTGAGGGCTTGCCAGGTTTGAGCTCTACATCCTTTGTTACCTTGACTAGAAATTTTATATATACACATACACAAACACTGCAATTATGTCTAATACCCCCATGCGACCCCCACTGTTCCCCCGCCAACAAACAGTCACAAAACCTACAATCATAACCTTTTAGAAAACTTACTGAACAGGTGGGCAAGAATCGAGGTACTTTGGATTGAAAACAAGAAGTAGTAGAACTTGCTGAAGGTATTTTCAAGTCATAATGACCTGGTCCTGGGCCTTCATGCTATAGAAAAAAAAAAAGGTGATTCAAAAATCATTAATAGTTGATATATTGTAATGCTTTCCTTGCCTTCCACAAATACATATTTGAATCAGTGTGATATGGCAGAAAAGCCCCTTGATTTGGGCTTAGAAGACCTTTCTAAAGTGCGCCCTGGCACAAGGCACTGTGAAATGGGAATAATGCCAGCCTCATGTATGGCTTTGTTGCCCAAAGATGAAGTGGCCTGTGAAGGTCTCCCCTCTTCCCTGTCTGGGCCCCTCCCTCCTCCCTACTGTTAGACCCCCTCCCCACACGGGCCCACCTCACTCTGTACAGCCCCTCTGACTGTTCATGGTGACTTGCTCTGAGCTCTCAGCCAAGTATAAAACGTATGTATTCTTTCATATAAATGTAATAGTGTATATATTATCTTACTACAAACAAGTATTGACAGCAATTCATGGACATAAGAACAATGCCATAAGATTAATGTAAATGGATGAATGCAATTAAAAAAAGACAAACTCCCCATTAGCAATATTAGCAAAAGGCAATTCACAAAGAAGAAATACAATTGTTCAGCGAGGAAGTGGGGGGCAGGGGGCTCCAACTCATTAACAACCAAGTAAGTTCTAATTGTAACAACAATGAGACTCTTGTTTTGGGGGGCTCTCTAAAAATTAACAAAGGCGTAAAAGCAGAAGGAAGAAAGGAAGAAAAAGGGAGAGAGGGAGGGAGAGTGGTAAGAAGGAAGGGAAGGAAGAAAAAGGAAGGAAGACCCTAAAGTGTGACAGCCCCATGATTCTGGTTGAGGTGTAAATTTGATTAGCCTTTCTGGAGTACAATTTGTCAAGATATGAAATGGCTTTAAAATGTTTATATGTATCCACAGGGAGAGGAAGCAGAAAGCAGACTGGTTACAAGATTGTGGCAGGAATCAGAGGACTAATGATGAGCCCCAAGCCCAGACAGGGCAGGAAAAATGAAGAGAGTCCAACAGCATTGTAGATAATGTAGACAAGACATGAACCTTTCAGTTTTTTCCTAGAAATTCACTTTTTCTCTCTCCCATTTTCAAATACCTGTGGTATTTGACAGAAATGAGTCTTTCTGGCCATCATGTCCTGGATCTGTTCCTAAATAATGCAGGGGCTAGGGAAGTGGGGGGGTCAGATTAGCCAGGAGCTGATACTTGTGGACTGGGTATGGGTAAAGTTGCAATATTTCCAGAATCTCTTGCCTGACCTTAGTGCATCTCCGCATCAATAGGTGTTTCCAAGGAGAGAAGTAGTCTATCTCTGTATCAGTAGGTGATCACAAAGAGGGTGGGAGGTGAGGGCATATCCAGACGGGAGAGAGGTGATGGGGCCCGTTTTTGCAGCCGGGTTGCGAGAGACACAGGCTAGCAGAAGTGGATGACTGCTTGTAAGCAGTAAACAGGTTTCTCCCACTTTATTTCTCCCTTTGAGATTTTGGCTTCAAAGGTTATTTGCCCCAGGATGGGAACATATTTCTACCACCACCCCCTACAGCCCCTGGAGTTACAGGGCATATGGGGGTTTGGTAGAGTATTGTGTCTGTGTGGTATGTATTTTTTAAGATTTTATGATACATAGTTAAATGCAATGCATATTTATTATTTTTACCCAGCAATTCCATCCTAAGAAAACAATTCAGAATGTGTGCAAATAATGGCTGCAAAGACATTCACTGTAATTTTTCTAAAAAATTGGTTGAAAATTGGAAATAAACTAAATGGTCAATGATGGGCCTGGTGAAATAAACCATGATTCTTTCATCTAGCCATCCAGTGCTGATGAATTTTTTGGACATAAAAACTATTTTCAAATACTGTTAAGTGAAAAATGCAAGCTTGAAAAAGATACATCTTAAAACACTAAGAATGGAGTGTTCACTGAGCGTGGTTTGCTCCAGGTGGCAGCAGGTTAAGTAAAAAGCTTTGTTTTCTTTTTTTGCTTATTTGGATTTTCTAATTTTTCTACAGTGGAAGGTAAGGTAAGCCTGGGCTGCAAATTAGCCCAACAGATTTGGCAGAACAAATGCCCAATCACAGACCCTGTATAGGATTTTAGAGCAAGACTTCCCCCCTTCACTCCTTTGGGGGAACAGCAGTGCAATTAGGGCTGCCATTCTCAATGCCTGTCCCTTGAATAGAATCTGTTATTCACAGCCAAACACAAGGCTGATAATGGAGTGATGGATGTGACTCATATAATTTTACAACTCATGGCAAAGAGATGAAAACAGCCATGTTTTTAAACTGATTCATACATGACACAGAAATCACTGCACAGGTGAGGCTGTGTGGGTGACCTCTGCACTCCCACTGGAGAAATCTGAGCCACCAGAAAAACAGCAGCATCAAAAGCCAGGGGAATCTGACAGGAACACTTTCTGCACCCTCCCCTTGGTCTGGCCATGACAAATGCAGTACCCCCAAACCAGAGTCGTAGCTGGGGCCAAAGATGCTGCTAAGTGTGCTACCACTGACTCCATGCTTACCACAGCCAACTGCCGGATGGCTCAGAAATGCTGCCACATGCACCCTTTCTCCCAGCCTGCTGTGGCCTTCATTCCTAAGTGTCCAAGTCATGAGCTCCCTGGGAGAGCAGGCGTCAGGCCTGAAGAAGCACTGATGTGCACCCAAGCAATCCATCAGCCTCCCTGCACGGGCCTGGTCATCTGAATCAAAGGGCCTAAGACTTATAGCAGAAAGAAATGACTGAATGCTACTTGCCCCACATGTGTCAGATAGAAGCTTTCAGGAGGGGATATTAGGGAAGTGGATACAGGAATACAAGTTCATGTTCCAGAAGCCAGAGAAATGCTGTTCTAAGTGAGAAGTAATGATGGGGCCAAGGCCCTGGGATGGGCAGGAAGCGGCTCCACTGGCATGCTCACTTCATCCCCATCTGAGGATGGTGTTCATGGGCAGAGCAGGAATGAAGGCAAGGGGACATGACTGGCTCAAAATGTGGGTTGAGAAATGGACCTGGTTCAATGGGAGGGTGTTTAAAACAAGAATGTTTGAATAGTGTCCTACTCTTCCTTGAGGATAGGGCTTCTGCTCCCTCATTTACCAGAGATTCAGGGCTCTGGCTCACATTCTGTGTGCTGTGTGGGTAAAGGGCAGGACCGGGTTCATCCAGCAGCCCTCAGCACCTCTCACACACAGCAGAAGAACTGTTTCTCAGACCTTGCTTTTGGCAGGACCAGGCTTTGGCAACTCTTGAGTTTCCCAAAGCTAAACCTTTCAAAGATCAATGACATGTGGGGCCAAAGGAAAACAGAACCATCACCTTCCTATAGTCAGAACCTGCTACCAAAAGAAACTACAGGGAGCCTTCTGTGACACCCATTCTTCCACTTTGAGGCATGATTACATTTCAACCCTCCTGACAAGATGATACTGTCTTTCTCTTCTCTTTGAAAAAGTCAGTGAGTTTCTACTTGAGAGCAACTTTAACCGACAGGAGCTGTAGGGATTTCACAGATAAATAAAATATTACCTTCAACCTTAGAGGACCTTATAGTCTGTGAAAGACAAAGGTAGAACCAAACAAAAATACCCCAAAAGAATAAATGAAGGTGTGAGGAACTGGGATGGTGCTGAGCGAGGGCTGAGCTAGCTGCCTGGCTTCGAGATTCTAAACCAGGCCCTGGTGCATCTGGCCTGTGTCAGCTACGTGTGAGCTCAGTGGGCTTCAGGACATCACCAAGGGTGCGAGCTTTCACTAACTGCAAAGGACTCAGAATGTGTGGGGCCCTGTGGCTTTTCTGGAGTGCTCCTGGGGACTTGTCATGCTATGAAGGAGTCTGACTTATTTGGTTCCAACTACTAAAGGGCAATAAAGCTCAGTACCATTACATGCCTTTGGTAAGTGCTGCTACCGGGCAGTGAACACACTCTTCCTCCAGGGCTGTGAGGGTGGGACTGGCTGACCTACACTATACTGCTCAGGACTTAAAGGGTGTACTTGCCCACAGCAGCAAAAGCCAGGTGCCTCTGAAAGACTGTGAGGGTAAATGAAATTATCCTCTTACTGTGTTGAATTGGGTCCCTCCAAAGTTCACAAATCCTATGAATTTTTGTCATGTTGAATTGTGTTGAATAGTGAATGGTGTCTCCCCCAAATTCATTAACTCCTGTGAATTTTGAATTTCCAGGACCTCAGAATGTGACCTTATTTGGGAACAGCATTGTTGCAGATGTAAGTAGTTAAGATAAAGTTGTTGGACAGGCCTAATTGTATATGAACAGTGTCCTTTTTAAAAAGGGGAATTTTTGGACACACACACAGGAAAAAAACAGCACGTGAAGATCAAGGCAGAGATCTAGGAACAGAATAGCGAAGATTTGCTAGCAAACCACTAGAAGCCAGCAGAGAAGAATGGAACAGATTTTCCCTTGCAGCAAAGAAGGAACCAACAAGGCCAGGACCCTGTCTGGGGCTTCTAGCCTCCAGAACTGTGAGACAACATATTTCTGTTGTTTAACCACTCAGTTTGTAGTTCTTTGTTATGGCAGCCCTAGCAAATGACTATGTAAGTGTTCAGCTCATTTCTTCACTCAACCAGTTTACAATGTGCCAGACAGTGTGCAGGGACTTGGGAATACATGGTATGTGACTGTTCTATTCGTTAGCCTAACAGAACAAGTGTTTACCTAGGCACATGTCTACCCAGAATAAAGACTTAATTCCCCAGACTCCCCTGCAGCTAGGTGTGGCCACAGGACTAATTTCTGTCCAATAGGATGGAGGTGGAAGAGGTGTGGATAACTCCAAAGAGCTTCCTTATGGAGAAGGCAGCTTGTCCATCTTTCGGCCCTCCTGCCTGCTAGCTGTCCTGTGTTCTCAGCTCTCTGGGACCATGAGAATGGAAGCCATGCTCAGCAGGGCCACACACCAATATCTGATGCTGCAGAACTGCCCCAGCAGCCCAGAGCTGCCTACTGCAGGAGCTGCATACAAGAGAGAAATATGCTTTCATCTCATTTA